GAAATGACTGCTTAATATGAAAATATTGCAGCACTACAGTTACTCTTTAAGGTATTGTCGGAGTTTCTGGTATCATATCGATGCCCTTCCGATACAGTACCTGGGATAAGGCTATATAAATAGTCAGGTATATATTGATGGAAAATTTTATGTTACTGGATACTTTTAGGATTTTGCCTCCGATCGAATAAACTGACCCAAGCTGATTCATTGAAAAGTTTGTCAATGCTTACTAATTTAGTTGCACCTGTTACAATTCGAGCGGCTTAAATATTGAGGTTTTCAAGTTTCTTTCCCAACTCATTCGGTATGTTCCCCCACACTATATCTTCATACTCAAGTAGAGGTCTTATAAATGAAAATTATATTGATTGTAAAGTATTTCTAAGCATGCAAACGACTTATGTATATAGAATTCTGAGTTCAAAGATTTAATAAGCTGTTCTGGGCATCTAAAGTTGAATTTTGTGGCATGGATTCCTCAAATTAGAATTGCACAAAAGAAATCTTTGCAATTGTCATTATAAAGATATTGGTACGAATATGTGCAAGATATTTTATTCTCCCACAACCACTATGGGTTCCCTCCCTCCCAACTCATTGGATCAGGCTGCTAGGAAGTTGGACGTAATCTTCTGATTTTATTATACCTCTACTTATTTTACACTATACAAAAGTAACCACATAAACAAGCTATTTCCCCTCTAACTGCATGCCAGGGAAATAGTTCGTCTGGAGGGGTGCGATAGTTTTGAAACTATTTCCCTCAGAAAATGCGGGATATTGAGTGACGTCGTAGGCGGGGCCTGACCGAATATTGACCAATCAGCGCAATCGAATGATGTCGGCAATTTCCGGCCAGCGGAGCCGGTACTTTCTGGACCGACCTTCACCTCGCATTGTTGTTGACAGACGACAACAGAAATGGCGACCCCCAGGTTTTCTGTGTTGGACGAGAGCGAGTTGTCGGACATATTGGAGGCAAAAGACAGTTGGCTAATTTTCAAGCAAAAACTGTGATTTATTGTTTATTGTACATGTGATATCCTTTATTTCATGTTATTGCGAAAACTGTTTTTTTCTGATGTTGATTCTCAAGAAAATTTTAGTTTTGTTAATAAAGTGTCCCAACTGTTGAAAATTTGTTGTCTAATAATATTTAGAATATTGTAAGGGAGTGTTTGTATCGGTATAATAAAACAGTTGAAGTATGGGTATTTCGGGATATAGCAAGTTTATGATCCCCCTCGTCCAGGACTATTTCCCTCAACTTCGCCTCGGGAAATAGTCCTGGCCCGGGAAATAGTCCTGGCCTCGGGGGATCATAAACTTGCCATATCCCTCACACCCATACTTTAACTGTTAAATAACTTCATGTAACAATGCTTTGTGACGTCATATTCTATTGTGACGTCATATTTTATTGAGACGTCATATTTCGTGGCAATTACTTCCCCGATCGAAAATAGGAAGTTTGTGTTCCGATGAAAAACGTACGGTTTTATAGAAATAAAATGAATGTTGTTGGAGAAAATGGTCCATAAACTTGTGATGTTTAATTATCATGATTATCTTAATCTCTGTACGTAATTTCAAATTTGTAAACTGTAGTATATACGTCTCTGCTCGAGTTATATAAACATGATAACTAACCATCACTCGTTTGGGAATTACGTCGGAGCAAAAATTTAGTTTTGCGCCAAATACGGCTTACGGCAGAGTAAAATGCTCCCATGATGGAAGAACGTGGGAGGTATTTTTGCGCTTTCTTGTATAAATACTGAAAACTTACCATTGTAACTCAGTCTTAGCTGCTATATGAATATTTAAATTTGTAGATTGAATTGGTTTTGACTAAATACTCATATATATATATATACGGACATCAGTTTTCATACAGCTTTGCGGAGATTTGAATGCAATAACTATTTACATGTCATTACATTACTTTTACACAACACATGTCTTGGCCAATGACCCATCAACAAAACAACATTGAATAGTCTGAACTAACCACAAGTTTTAGCGATATTTTTAGCAAAATATACAGTTGGTATGTATGCTGATACGGATTACGACCCTGTATGATACGGATTACGTTCATTTACAAACTGGTATGACACTGATTACGGTCAAATAATCATATTTTAACTAAATGAAAATCAATATCTTAACAAATTTTAGGATATTTTCTCGGTCACACAGCATCACATAGGAACAAATAGAATGTTTAAAATTGACTTTCTTAATTTTTTGATTTTTTCTTCTGGGTACCACACTCATTACAAACTTGTCCGTCATTCGGGGTAGATGTGTATCAGTTATATAGACCGAATATGTTCGTAATTATGAAATCTAGACAGGTACTATTGGAATAAAATAATTATCAGACAATTATATAAACTTACACTCTTATTCATATCACATATATTTCATTCACCACACACTGCAGCTCGCACATGCATGGTGTGACTATCAAAAACAAAATCACACGTTTAAACAAACGATGTATGTTTCTAATGAAAACATTTATTCTGTCTCGGAATCACTTAAGTTCAGCTCATAAGTTATAATTAATAACTAGAAAATAAAAAAATAAAAATGGTAAGCTACTTATTAAGGGGTAGTAACTCTTATTTCAAGGGAGGGAATTCGAAATGCTCGGTGATGCGACCTCACAACTTTTACCAACTTGAACTGTAGGCCAAAGGCTAACTAATACCCCCGGCTCCTATATGAACCAGAACTGTAAGCTAAATGCTAAGTAAGGTAAAGCAATCCATAGTCTCCCACCAGTAATGATTTATTTATTCACTGAGCTGTACACTTATTTAAGTATATAGGTAACTGACATACTTTCTGTACTCCCTCCCAATTGCAAAACATACTTGCAAACTAAATCTTGTTAACCCAGATCAACCAGTTTTGCTGAAATCGACATAGTAAGGAAGAGTTGTCACGACAAAGATTTCAACCAAAGGGCCATAACTCTTTAAAAAGGGGTCGAAATGGAAAAAATAACATACCCTGATGCACGAAATCAGGGGGTAATGACCATATCTGTAAACTTTCATTGAAATCGGACCAGTAGTTTAGGAGACAGACAAAGTTTTTTTCCCAACAATGGACCATAACTCCTTTTAAAAGTGTTCGAATGAAAAAATAATACCTGGATGCACAGTAGCAGGTGATAGTTATCATATCTGATAAATTTCGTTAAATTTGGTCCTGCAGTTTTTGAGGAGTTTTCCGGACAAGGATTTTTCAACAACGGTCCATAACTTTGTAAATAAAGGTCAGAATGAAATAAGAATACCTGGATGCACAACTTCAGGTGGTAGCTATCGATCCATATTTTAGAAGGAGTTGTCCGGAGAAAAAGTTTCAGGATTTGTTAAACAAAGGGCCATAACTTCGTCAAAAAGGGTCAGTATAACAAAAATGGTACCTGAATGTTTCAATGAAACTGGTCCATCACTTTAGAAGATGATGTCTGAACAAACTTTTTCAGATTCCAGTATAACCCCCTAACATCGTTGCGGGGGTATAATAACATGTCTAACTTACTTACTCAAGTGATAAAACAATTACATGACTGACATGTTGAGGGTATATAAAAGAGTAACATAAATTCATTTTCGAAGTTACTTTGTCTCTCAGAGCTATTAATTTCTTTACATTGGCATGGCTTTTCCAAATAAGGGGAGGGGACCAGTGCTTGTTATGGCTCAACATTATCCAAACTATAAGTGTGCTGGTCAACGTGTAACACCACCACAACTATTGTGCCAGTTTTTTTTTACATAATGACAAGATACATAACTCACCTGAAGAGACGGAGATATAAAATAGTGATAAAAAACTCTCGCGTGATAATCGATTTAATACAACGTAATCCGTATCAACATAGAACGTAATCCGTATCAACTAAAATTGAGCATGTTCTGTATCCGTATCACCAGTATCAAATTGCAGTTTATGCACAAATGTAATGTATATTTAATAATAATAGTTACTGGTACGGAGAGGACTGATACGGGTTTTGGGGTGTGATACGGCGGGGGCTTTTTCAATATTTCAAAAGAAAAATATATCATAAGACAGTGTAGCTTTTATTAGTAAGTATGTACTAAACAGAATAAAGCATGTCTTTTTCCATATCACACGCGGTATTGTCTCGGGTTGATACTGGGTGTGATATGGAAAAGGTCCTGTATTATTCTTTATTACATACTTACTGATAAATACGGGTTTTTTGTATATGCGATACGACACAATTTCTCTACCCCATATCAGCCCCCGCCGTATCACCCCCCAAACCCCGTAGCAGCCCCCGCCGTATCACACCCCAAAACCCGTATCTGCCCGCAAAACCCGTAAATATGTAATAAACAGAATAAAACACGCCTTTTTCAATATCACACCCATTATCAACCCTCGACCAATATCATTCCTCGGGCCCTCGGGCTCATATTGCAGTCTCGGGTTGATACTGGGTGTGATACGGAAAAAGGCGTGTTTTATTCTCTATCTATCTATTTATTAGTAAGTACAAATGTATGTAATAAACAGAATAGAACATGCCTTTTCCCATATCACACCCAGTATCAAACCTCGACCAATATCATTCCTCGGGCCCTCAGGCTCATATTGCAGTCTCGGGTTGATACTGGGTGTGATATGGAAAAGGCATGTATTATTCTCTATGTATCCCCCGAATTCTCATTAATTAGAAAAATTATGGGTTTGTGATCTATTTTAGATTACTCTCACCTTTTTAACAAAATTATTATCCCCGTGATTTCGTTGTTGTTGCTGATTCCTTTTTCTTCTTTTTAAAAGTGGGGAATATTGAACAAGATCCAGATTTACGAACATCTGTCCCGAAAGGATGGGACGTTGTGGCTAGACAAATATTATCGCGCCTTTGCTACGAGGAGTACTCTCCCATTTTCCGTAATTCTGTGTACGGGTGTGGTTTTAAAGTTATAGGCCAACACTGCGTTTCCTGGTGAAGTGACACATTCCGTTCGCACTTGGAAGGAATACGGCTGAGGGCCTAATGGTAGTTAAACAACGGTAAGCAAAACATTAACTTATCGACTAACAAAGAAATTATGAGATATTCGTGTATGATAAAGATATTCGTGTTTATCATGCAATAAAAGCGCACCATCAGTTCTTAATTGTCACCCAGAGGCAGTGCCGCCGAGGTCGAGGATACATGAGCTACTAGGCCTGATCTCCTTTTGTTTTGACAAGGTTATCGTGGTTACCTACTAAGATCTGAACCTTGAAACTTCCTGACGCAAATAACATACAAATTCTGTAAACAATGCAGCATTTACATTCATGATTTATTCTTAACTTTTCCGCAGGTCACAATAAAAATAGTAGATCTATACAAAATTAAAGCCGGGTCAATGGCAACACTGACGTGCAGGTGTGACAGGTTTTAATTGTACATAGGATTAAGGTCGCCTTCTCGCTTCGAGCTAGACGAAAATTTCCCTTTAGCTCAGTGGTAGAGCGTCCGACTAGGAACCTGAAGATCGAGGGTTTGATCCCCGGTGGAAGCACACTATTCTCTTTCCTACACAGGCACATCAATATATATATATAATGAGATCATATTAATGTGTGTTTATTATATCGTTCCAATGGAAAAAGGGTCACCTTCAACAGGCTCAAGGTTTTATCATGTGAGAGAGCATAGCTAGCAGTCATAGGAAAAGGATATAGATACATGGAATAGGAGAATAATGACGCCAATTGGTTGAATATATATCATCCAATCACTACTCATCTCACAACTCAATCACTTATTTATTGCATTACCAAACCCAAATGATTTTTTTTAAATGTCTTATGGAAAAGCAAAGTTGACAAAACCGAAAGAGACATTGTTATTAGAGACTATATTGATGGTGAATTGAAAATGATGCCTGTAATGTCTTTCATAGAATCCTTAAAATTAACATGGATAAGGCCATTAAGGAGACTATTTACAACATCAGGTAAATGGTATGAGATTTTAAAAACTTATATTGATTTAAATATATTAGCAAACTGAGGGACGGAATACACTGTTTAATGTGAAATGATGAGTAATTTTTTTTTTGGAAAGACGAGTTTAATGCATGGAAAAAGTTAGTAATAGTAAGAGATAATCAATGCAAGGGAGATAATTTCTTTTCCAAAATGCCTTTCTGGTATAATACATGGTTTAAAATAAATAATAAGAGTATTTTTTTATAGAAAGTGGTTTAGTAAAGGTGTAGTAATAGTGAATGACCTACTTAAGGATAATAGTACAAACTTGTTTATATACTTTTACAAGAAGTTCAACAATTTTTTAAAATTGAAACAAATTTTCTTCAGTACCAAGGTCTGCTATCTACAATTAAAAGACATCTCTCTCAACAACATGAAATAAAATGTATAAGTTATCCTTACATACCTAGTAATATACAAATATTTCTAAGAAATAGGAAAGGGACAAAAGACTTTTATAGTTTGCTTTGTAAAAATGATACACTAGATTATAATGATAATACATGGAGAAATATCTACAAAATACCAATTTAAGTAACCAAAAACACAAAACTACAATGGTTTCAGTATAGAGTTAATCAACACATCTTAATCACAAACTCATATCTGTACAGGGCTGGAATAGCAGATATAATCTTCATTGTTATTTTTGTAATTCAGACATTGAAACAATAGAGGCATGCATTATGGGAGTGCAATCAAGTTCAGAATTTACTAACAAACTTTGAGATTTTATTAGATGCTTTGTTTATTCCTTTTGCCTTTAATAAGGAAACATTTATCTCTGATATATACGATCAAACCAGAACTCATTACATGGTAGATAACCAAATTGTTCTTATTATAAAATATTATATTTACAAAGCAAGATGCCTAGAAAAAGCTCTATCAGTAAATAGCCTTATAAACTTTATAAAAGAGACTTGTGCGATACAGAAATATATTGTGAATGGCAAAGATGAAAAACATAGACATAACTTCCTAAAAGACTGGGAAAAGTGGCAATACCTTCTTAATATCCCATAAAACCCTCAATTTCATGAGTAACATGTAGAAAACCAATTAAGGGGTAACAGTTATAGATAGGAATACTCTAAGTATATTGAGCTGATATGATAAAAACGATTACTGTACGATCGACAGGTTAATGGGATAAACTGTTCTTCTGTAACCAATCTCCATCCTCTCCCCCCCTCCCCCCTCCCCCCTCTCTCTCTCTCTCTCTCCAACCTAAGAACCTTGGATACTTTACTATTCCTGAAGACTGTATCTCATTTTCTCCTGCACATAGTTGTATGAATCATAAGATTTGAAATAGAAATGGCTGAGGATATTTCTTTAATTGACTGTATCAAAGGTCCCTTTCTTTTCCTTTCCGTCTTCTTTCTATAATACATCTGAACATCAGAATACATTTAAAAAAATTAAGAATTTATTTCAAAAGAAAGTATGAAAGGTGCGAGAGAGATGATATGATATGCTTTAGCAAATTAACACTCACATGTGAATAAAATTGGTATGTTTGCTTATTATGATGATGATGACAACGATATGATAACTACTTTGTATCATGATGAATAATGATATTATTATTATACAATGAAGATGATATCAGTTAGAGGTTGATGATGGCATGAGTCTGATAATGATGAAATCAGTGTGATTATGACGATGATGATGATGATGATGATTTTAGTGTTATGTTGATGGAATTGGTGAGAGTATGATGAGGATAACTATGAAGAAGATTATGTCAATGTCATGATGAAAATGTCTGGGTAATGATGAGGATGGATTAAATGTTATATGATGATGATGACAAGTGTGATTACGATCAATATCATTGTGAGAATGAGGATGATTTTAGTTGTGATGATGATAATAATAATAATAATAATGAAAAAGTTTATGTCAATTGGATGATGGTTTTGTGTCATGATGGATTTATCAGTGTGATGATGATGATGATGATGATGATGATGATGATGATGATTTTAGTGTTTAATGTCATGATGATGATGATTATTCCTGTGTTTAATGTCATGATGATGATGATGATGATTTCAGTGTTTAATGTCATAATGATGATGATTTCAGTGTTTAATGATGATGATGATGATGATGATGATGATGATGATGATTTCAGTGTTTAATGATGATGATGATGATGATGATGATGATGATGATTTCAGTGTTTAATGTCATGACGATGAAATCAGTATGATGATGTCTGGATGATAACGAAAATATTGGGGTGATGATGATGATGATAATACAACATTATAAAATGTAAGGGAGTATGAAAAGTATGAGGATGGGGGAGAGGATAGGAGTTGGCATGGGTTGCAAAAGGGGGAGTAGGGGTGCAAAAGGGATTGTACTGACCAAATACAGTATGAGAAAGCAAGTGGTCAGGCCATTCCCCACTGTTGACATGACTTACTGGACTGGTCACCAGGGGTGGAGTTGAAACATAGATAGAAGAGAAATGAGGCCAGTACCCCCAAGGACAAGAGTTATCCAGGCATGCATAACAACCAGCTCTAAAAGGGGTGGAGGAGGAGGAGGAGTGATTTTCAATACAATGTTGACAGTATAGATCTCCACTATACTTTTACTACCCAAAAAATACATTTGATGAAAAATTCATGACTTAGATTACTTTTTACCTACTATGTCAGTCCCATGCCGATACTCCCATCAAAAACACAATAATACAGATGAACCTTGTGGTAAGTTTTTCCAAAAAAGAAAATGGACAGTCACACCAGCTCCTACACTGGTTGGATCTTTTTCTAATTCATTACACAGAGTTTACTTCTAGCTCTGTGTACATGGTGAAGTTACATGTATGACAGAGTTCACTTGCACATCTGCTGACTCAGAGACAGCTTAGGGTGAAGGTGAAAATATGGGATATTGGGGATGGAAAAATTAACTGACACAATAACAATGATACGCTCCGTAACTTTTTTAAATTCCTGGATAATAATCTGATCGACCACTAATTGACATTCAATGACATATTTCAATAGGTGGCTGTATTGGAGGCTATCAAAGTTGTTTAAATACTTGAACATTGACTCAACGTCATGGGTTTCAAATCAGTTTCAAGCTAACTGCTTTATAAATACAGCACTATATAAAAATCATCAAAAGGTCTAGAGCAGTCCCTGCATTGCTGGGTATTGATCATATTGGATATCTATAAGGGGTATTGAAATGCCTCAAAGGAACAAAAAAACAACCCCACAGACGTCCTCCAATTCAAAAATAACAAGAGTATGTTCTATGTGTTAACTCCCTGTTACAGATGACAGCATAAGATTCTTAGTAATATTATTTGATCAAAACTATTTACAAATTTCTGTCACCGGGAAATAGTTCCCGGAATGGTGAAATGGCAAAAGGTAAACTTGTTTAATTTCCAGGGGAAGTAATCTCTCAGGGTTAGAGAGTTACAATCAGGATATTTCAATTATTAGACAACTACTCTCCAAAAATTGTTGGCAAGATTTCAAGATTTCAAGATTATTATTTGTATACAGCGGAATAAGGAAATAATGGAGGGACAGATGATAAGGGAACCAGACAGTGAAATTTTACTGTTTTAATATTCAATTGACTACCTTTGATGTATCAAACAAAACACAATCAATCCACTTGACAAGCACTTGACATTGACTCACGCCAAAACATATATGAAGCTAGACAATAGATCCAGGTCATTTTGCGCTAAATCGATTTTGACCAAGGTTGGTTTGCCCTTATAGAAATATACATTTTATGTTATAAATATCAATTTAAATGTGTTCAATGTGTTGCCGGAAGAATTTCAGGGAATGCTGGAGACCTGGTCTATCATATGTACAAGTCCAATATTTGTACTGACAAAAAAATGACTTCAAAGGCCTAAAAGAAGTTTCGTCCAACCAAGCACAAATTGACCCAGGACGAGTAGGATTTAGGGCAAAACAACCCGACACCCTGACAATTATCTAACTGTATCAGGAAACCAAGTTTAAGAGACATTTGTAAAACGCAGGTATACTATCAGACACAAGGAAAGTGTATACCACACAAATACTCTACTTGAAATATTGGAACATGTGTATCACTCATGTATATATGTATACTAGCAGACATGTATTGGGAACATGTGTATAACACAGGTATACTAGCAGACATGTATGAGGAACATGTGTAGCATTAAAGTACACACTACCAGACACATTTTTGTACAATTCCAATCATCCTTAAACCTCTAGTGCATGTATATATATATCACCTGGCTTTAGTGAGCACACCTTGTCACTTGTCAAGGTTAAGTGGAGAACACATGATGATACTGATATTGAACTTAGTGTTTGAGGTGTAAAGGGCATACAGTATTGTGTAATAGATTAAATAGAGATTATGTATACACAGTCACACAGCGATTACATATACCTGGTAGGACACACACGTTTTGTGGCCATAGCTTGAAGTACTGATTTAACACATCACTGGTCTCAGTTAGATCTGACTAACAAACACTGATCAAACTGTTCTTATTTTATTCCACAGGAGGAGGCCTTACTACAAAGATCTGTCACTACTGGAGAAGGTCTTACTACAAAGATCTGTCACTACTGGAGAAGGTCTTATCTACGGATGATGCTGTCTTCCTTAGCTCCAACCACCACCAAGAAGGGTGTACCGTTAGTGTTCCACGAACCACATGTGGAGACGGGATTCCGTACGCCCCACCAGCCATGGAGCTACTATGTCTACAGCCTCTTTCAGAAACACAACGAATGTATGAATTGTTGGACACACCTGGTAGGTCTGTGTTTGGCTCTGAGCAGGGCAGTTGACTTTGCACACAATCACCGCATGCTGGGAGACCCCCACATGTGGCCCCTGACGGCTGGCCTGATCACCATGGTACTGATGTACCTGTGTAGTACGACTGCTCACTGCTTCTCCAACAGGTCGGAACTCGTGCACTACACAGCCTTTATGATAGACTATGCGGGTATCGGACTGTTCGGAGTCGGCAGTGTCATCCTCCACCACCATTACTGCCATGACGACGCCTGGGTGAACTCGTGGCTCCAGACCAACGCCGTCCTGGTGGGGATGATTCTCGGGGTGATAGTCTGCTTCTGTTGCAGTGTGTCCAAAGTTATATACAAGCGGCCTTATCCAATTGCCAGGAAAATTTGGCAGGTGTCCTCAGTGGTGGCTATTTACACTTGGTTAAGTCTTCCCATTCTGCTGCGGCTGTATCAGTATGCGGCCATAGGTGTGTGGCACTCCAGTCTCGATCACCACATACAACAGATGATCTGGTTCGCTGTGGCGGGATTCTTCTTCGGCTCTGACATTCCTCAACGCTTCTTTCCAGGGAAGTTTGACTTTGTCGGCCACAGTCATCAGATATTTCATCTTTGTATCATCATGGTGACCGAAAAACAGCTGGACGGCATCACCCATGAACTGGAACGGCTCAGCCCCAAGTTTGCCAACATGGCGCTGCCCACCTTTTGGAACAGTATAGGTGCAGTGTTTCTAGTCATCATGTTTAATGGCATTGTCGTATATCTATTCCATTTATATGTGAAAGAAAAATTAGTCAAAGGGGAAAAAGTGGAATAAGGTAATCTGGGTATAGGCAATGCATTGTGTGTGGTTGAAGGTAAAAAAGTGTGACTACCTCCCCAACTGGTAGACTTGGGATATAAATGTCGGGCACATTTCATATCCCAAGTTTACAACTGAGCTATCAGAATTAGGTTAAATGTCTTTTCAATGAAAAGCAATGTCTTAGAAGGTATGATGTTGTTTAACAGAACAAAAATAAGTAGTAGTAATACTCTAATGGAAAGTTGCCAAATACAAGTAGTACATATAGCATACAAATGATTGTGTCCTAAAATGTCACTAGCACCTCTCAGCTAGCACAGTTATACATCACTTTAATATGAAAGCATTGTATAATTTACAAAGAAACAGATTTAATTTAGTTGTGTCTTCATATTTTTTTTAATATTTTTTTTTGTGTGTGAAGCATACCTTATTCAATAGAATACTAAATGTTATATATAAAAGGATACATAAAGAATACATTGCCAAATACCCTTCTTACAAGGACACCTGCCCATAAGGAACCCCTTTATCTAAAACCTTGAAATATGCTTGTCTCGCTCTAGGGTCATAACCATTGTATGACGTCACGTCAACAAGGCAATAGTGTCACGCCAATGATGCATTTAGTCCTTAATGTCAGCATCGCATTACGTGACACCATCAGTGCAGGGTAAAAGAAAAAAAATCATTAACCCCATAGGGATGGGATGAGGATCTCAACCCTTGGGGAAACAAGCCCCGTGCTACTTAAGAATTTCCCCCCCTTGGGTTGAGATCCCCCCACATCTCAACCTTACAGCAGAGAAAAACTCTATTACTGTATTTAACCAACAATAAGTCCATGTCTGGTAATAAGCCCAGACATGTTTATTGCAGTTCAGTAAAAAAAAAAAAGCCAACAAATGCTATTTCATTGTCTTGTAGTAAGCCAAACTTACTATTTTGAATGAGATACTATATGTTGACCCCCCTGCGCTTTTTGAAGGATAAATACGGTAATCTAATGTGTGTGAGGACAGACTAACCCGTCTGTCCTCGCGTACATTAGGCTGTATACATGTTACACTCACTTAGTGGTCTTATGTTTTAATAACAAATAAACTTGTTTGCCTTGAGATATTAACCTGATCTGTCACCTGTTCAGGTGTAAAAATTTAATCATTTCCAATAGTTTTTAGTAAGTTCCTAGAATTCCACCAGATTTGTTACAGATCGTTCAGATATAATTCTACAGAGAGGGTGATTGTGCTGTCCGGTACAAGTTTTAAGATTTTCATTGAAAAGTTTTAACTGTGAAAGACACAAGATACTTTCATTATGTTAAAAACATCCATAGTGTTACTACAGATTTCTGACATATCTTTCTATATTTTATGCCATTTCATACAATTTTTAGGACATATATTTGAGGTGAATGAGACTCTATCGAAGTCGATGTATGTGCGAAGGCTATATTTGGTTTCAGACTTATGGTATATGTGGAGTTCCACCAGTCACCAACAGGTATAGCCTTTTAATCCTGGTTTTTCTCTATAGTATAAAATAGTACTGATTGGATATTACTGTGTGTTACTGACCACTATGTGTGTATGAATTAGGGTTGTCAAGGGTCAACCGACTAGCCGGTTATACTTGATCAGAAGACCAAGAACTAGTTTCAAAATGTAATAATCAAATTTAAAAAAAACATTTAACACCCTATAGGTAGTAGTCACGTGACTACCTGGCTTAGATCTACCTACCTTGCTTTGATAAACAGATAGTATAACAAAAATGGTCCAAACGATAATATTGTTTAGTGCATGATTGAAAAACAATAACGTGCCATTCAAATTAGATGTTAGTGATAGAAAAATAGTGATAAAAGAAATGGTATAAAAATATGCTGTACTTGATATTTATTGTTTATACTTTATTTTTTTTACAACAATTATGAAACAAGTTATTTCAAGTTCTATAAATCACTCAGTCTTGTTGGCCCGGATGTTAGCGCACAATGGGTCGTAATGTGGGAGGAAACCGGAGTACCCGGAGAAAACCCTCATGATCGGGCAGGTGATCCTTGACCCCATATACCTTTTCACGTCCGATCGGGAAATCAAACCTGGCAGCCTTGGTGAAAAGCAAGTGTGCTATCCACTAACTGCGCCACCCGGCGGTCAGGTGGTCAATTATATATTGTTGAAATATTGCTTGATTATCAAATCGTATGTGTAAAAAAAATGTGTAAAAATTCATGACAAAATTTAATATTACGTATATTTAACAGAAGGCTTCAAAAACAATCAACTTCAATTTTACACCTGTGCAATTTTAAGCATTTAATGTGCAAATTTTGTCAGTGTGATATTTTGTTTGCACAAATGGAGATGCTCCTATGTTTTTGTTATTTTTTTCATAGCTTTACTTTTCTATGCTTTTATTTGGGAGTAAATGACCAGGATCTGGTATACCAATTTCGTATTCACCGTAATTAGCCCTCCTCCCCTCTTCCTTTTTCGGTAGGAATTGGAATTACATAAACCCCTTCCTGATCTGACCAGGCCCAGTCAATGATTAATAGGTACTTACGCTTTAAAGTCGACTTTATATTGGGTGATCATGTCTCGAATTCCTGTTCAGCGTGAAGTAAAAGAAAAGTTTTAATATCCTAATAAACACCCCCTTTAAGTCAAATTTTTAAGACCCTAGGGGGCTAATTACGGCGGATATGGTATATATTTTTTTCGTATTGATGCTCATTTTTTTGTTAATTTGCACAGCTTCACTTTACTTTTCTGGAACTTGTTGATCAGGAGCTGGTCAGCTAGGGAGATGTAGACATCTTCAGATTTTTATTAACTAACTGACAAGCTGTAGTCAAAAATTTGTTAATTTCAGTACCGGTAGTTAAACAGATTTTATAAAATCAGAAAAGCACACATTACATTATCTTTGAGAAAAAATATAGTGTTTAGAGTGTATGTTTTAGTGTTTTTTCCCGTACATGTATTATTTAATTAAATATCCCTATTTGAAGTAATCGTGTGGAGCGTTCATCAAAATGTTATACATCTGTATGAGCATAATAGCTTTAGTGCAGAATTTTATTATTATGTTGCTACAAATCTATTCATTTTGTAGATATCTATTTATATGATATACATATTATTTGATAATATCTACAACAATTTTTGTTGTGGACATTTTCGTGATATCTGTGTTATACATATGCTATCGGAATCTTGTGTTAATTTACCTTATTTTTAGCTATAATTTACTTTGTTTTTATTGTTGCATCATGAAAAAGTTTATATATATTTAAAATGTATGATATGTTTTGTTTTTTTGAAGAATCAAAATGTTATAATTCATTTTGATTTCTTTGTTGACCTTTTGTTTTATTGTTGTCCACTGTTTTTTGGGACCAGGCAATTTTTTTTTATTTTTTTTTTCTTTAAAATTTTGCAATCTTTAATTTTTGGTTGGTGATTCAAAGGGGGAGAACTGAAATCTGAAATTTTCCCAAAAGAAGAGCCAATGTACGGTGCTCTATTTCAAACAAATGAACAGGTATACATTATTGATTTTATTTGTTTGCTTGATATTCATGACAATTAACAGTTACAAAATAAAAAAAAATAAAAAAATATAGGGCATTTGATATAGGGCCCTATCTAGGTAGCATAAGCCACTCTAAAGCGCTTTACAGTACATAGATATACAATTATGTGTTGGTTGCCAAGACCCAATGAGATACATATTAACGACACAACGTACAAATAATTTACTAACACATGCCACAAGGTAAACTGGACCATGTACAGTCCTTAATTTTGTTTTGTTTCAATTTTATAAATATATGTGATTATGAAATCCAGGGCCCATATTCCTGTAACGCTCAAACATGGATTCTGTGCTCAAACCAACTTCCTTGTAACTTGCTTAGATCATGCAACACAGCCAAAAGATCAAGTGTAAATATCAAAAGCAGTATTCAGCTATAAGTCTCTCTAAAATTCTTCCAAATCATTGAAAAAATGTTGGGTTTGTTTTTACAACTTTTTCATCAGAGCAAAACATTGGGCTTGAGCACAGAATATGAGTTTGAGCACGAGAAAAGTTTCAGGATAACAGACCCAGCTCTCTTGTTTTGTTTTGTTTGGATGGTATGTATTTTCGTTCTGATTGATATTTTTCTTATTTCTGATAAAATTAAATACAGATTAATGTTTTAGTGCTTCACCCCTAGTGATTTTTGGTTGCATCACTAAGTTGTTTTATCTGATACACTATAACATATCCTGTGTCCTTTTCTTTTATAATAGAAAAAATGAAAATAGCATTAAGGTACATCACTAAACTTACATATTTTGCAAGAATCTGCTCACATTAATGTAATTCTATTTTAAGGAGCTTTTTGGATATATTGATTATTTGTAAAAATGATAGTTGTGATTTTCTGTTTGGTCTCATGCTTGTATCTCTTCAAACTTTTTGTTTGTTATTAGTTAATTGTGGGATATTCTATTACTGTTGATCACCCCCAAAACGTTCTGCCCATTTGTCTGTAAACATCTTATTGTATCTCTATGTATACTGTTGATCAGACTTAATGTCTCTATGTATACTGTTGATAAGACTTAGTGTCTCTATGTATACTGTTGAGCAGACCTAGTGTCTCTATGTATACTGTTGATCTGACTTAATGTCTCTATGTATACTGTTGATCAGACTTAATGTCTCTCTGTATACTGTTGATCAGACTTAGTGTCTCTATGTATACTGTTGATCCGACCTAGTGTCTCTATGTATACTGTTGATCCGACCTAGTGTCTCTATGTATACTGTTGATCAGCCTTAATGTCTCTATGTATACTGTTGATAAGACTTAGTGTCTCTATGTATACTGTTGATCAGTCTTAGTGTCTCTATGTATGCTGTTGATCTGACTTAGTGTCTCTATGTATAGTGTTGATCAGACTTAGTGTCTCTATGTATACTGTTGATCCGACCTAGTGTCTCTATGTATACTGTTGATCTGACTTAGCGTCTCTATGTATACTGTTGATCAGACCTAGTGTCTCTATGTATACTGTTGATCCGACCTAGTGTCTCTATGTATACTGTTGAGCAGACCTAGTGTCTCTATGTATACTGTTGAGCAGACCTAGTGTCTCTATGTATACTGTTGATCAGTCTTAGTGTCTCGATGTATACTGTTGATCAGAACAAGTGTCTCTATGTATACTGTTGATCATACCTAGTGTCTCTATGTATACTGTTGAGCAGACCTAGTGTCTCTATGTGTACTGTTGATCTGACTTAGTGTCTCTATGTATAGTGTTGATCAGACTTAGTGTCTCTATGTATACTGTTGATCTGACTTAGCGTCTCTATG